TTTTTTTTTTTTTTTTTTTTTTTTCTGTTTGTAGAACAGTTTAAATGCCGTTTAATCACGATCAACCAGTTTAAATGACAGGATGTTCTCAGTAATAGAAATAATGAGAAACGCAGTGAAGAAACCTCTCATGCCTCAGTTAAAATAGTTTAAGTGTCTTTAATTCACAGGAAGATTTCCAGCTGGTATTTGTATGGGATTGGATAGACGGAATGTCACTAGGCAGGAGGAGAAATTCCAAATGACTTGTTTGCTTTGTGTGCCCACAGAAACACATTTTGGGTGCTCTGGTGATATACAGGGAGTTTTAGTTTTTCATTCATATATTCCTCATGGCGGGAGGGTGCTGCATCTTGAGTCTCGTGGGCAAAGCTTCACCTTGGCTTAGTTTTCTGTTAGGCCTCAAAGCAATGGCAGCAACTGAGGGAGGAGATGAGTGGCTGTTGCAGCGGCAGCGCTGCCCCGGGCTGGCACGCAGAGCTGCCGCCCTGGGCGAGCAGCCTGTGCCCGTGTCCCTTCCGTGGACGCAGGCTGAGCCGCCCTGTGCAGGGCGCACACAGCCTCTTGCAGGGACCTCCAGCGCCTGCAAGCTTTTCTCAACTTTAACATGGCTGGTTTACGTGCAGGTAAAATCCCTGGCCTTTAATATGTTACCTAGAGTGAACTGCCAGCTTTCCTCTTCTCTCTTTTTCTTTTTCTCCTTGGAAAAATATCTAGTTTTGTTTTCAGGGTGAAGCTAATCGGATCTGTCCGTTATAAGCATAATAAAGTTCAACAAATTGACTCCATTACTATCATGAGATGAGAAATTGATTTAGTTGCATTCTCTGTATTAATTCATTGGTGCCTTACATTCCCATAAAAGGTATTATGCTCGTTGTTTTCCAACAGTGCCATCAATCCTAATGAAGAGCAAAAAAAAAAAGAAAATTTATATTTTGTATACAGGACAGCTGATGGGGCCTTAGCTCATCGTTTGTAGATGCTGCTTCTGTACATTTTACCACTCACCTATTCCTTAGTGTGCATGGGTTATATACAGCATCTAGAAACTGGGACATTAACAAAATGGGGGAACATGGCAAAGGAATATAAATCCAGATTGTTTTTAATAATACAGCAGTGGAAATTTGACAGAAGCTATTGTCAAGGAATTAAACTTTTTTGGGGAACTGTATGTATTTTTGCAGAGTTTGGTTCTGCATTAGCTGCATTTGGACTACTTCAAGTATTTATCAGCCATTAATTCACTACCGCTGGCTCCCTAATGCCTGATGACATTTTATTCTTAGAGTGTGATTATATCTGAGCTTTGTACGTGGCTGCTAATTGGCATACAGTTGCATACATGAACTTTTGCAGCTCTGACAGTAAAGGTGAATGAAAGAGAAGCATAAATGAACAGCAAAGTGGCATAGTGGGAGAAGGTGCCCATAGAAAAGAAAGAGAAGCAGGAAAGGGCTTTCTTGGGTATTGCTGCTGTTGCTTTTCCCTCCATGTCCCTCCTGGCTGCTCCTAGAGGCTGCCAGAGGTGGTTTGTCTGTGGTGTATCTTGGAATTTTTTGGTTTAGTGCCAATGTTCAGTGTTCCAGAGCAGATAGATACATTCAGAAGAAAACAAAACTATACTGGGGCTTTGGCTACTGCTTGTGATACAAGCAGTTATTTTTTAATGATGTTTAAACAGATTGGGGCAGGTTCCAAGCGGCTGTGCCAAACTGGAGATGTTTCCCCTTTGACCTCCCCTGAGTTAACCTTGAGTTTTCTCTGTCTGTCTGAATGTTTCCTATTACAAGCCCAAGGTAATGTTGTGCCTGTCCATCACCCTGAAGGTCCAGGGTGCCCGTTTTAAGTTGAAAGTTAAATACCAGCATGATAAATCAAGTTGGACAAAGCATTAAGTAGACGTGGCCTCCTTAAAACATATCTTGTTTGGATGTACATGCAAATTCATTAACGGAGTTTAACACAAAAGCTGGAATTTATCGAGTGGGGTTACTGGAGCTGGAGCCTGCAGAGAGGACACAAGCAGGTCCCGAGGGCTTCGCGTTGGGTGACACGGGTTGCGTTGCAGCTCCCGTTAGCAAGGGGACATGGGCGCGCGCCGAGCGGAGCTGCCGCCGCTCCCCCTCAGGGTCTCCTGAGCAAGGCCTTGGTATCCAAGAGAAGCTCTGTGCAGGGCTGCCAGAATTGTCTTCTCCCATAAAAACAGCTCAGGCTTTTTCATAAGGAGCGTTGTCACCCATGCTGCGTATTTTGATCAAATATGTTAGTGTCCTGGGCTGTCATTCTGGCTTTTATACAACATGAGCGTGAAGCAAAGATTAGTGCTGGACAGGGCGAGGAAATTGCTTGGGTTTATTTTCCTTCCTTTGCTTGGGTGAGGGAGGGAAGTTTTTATTACTATTATTGGATTAGATTTATTATTAATATTATTATTTTTTTTCTTGCAGCATGTAGCTACATCACAGTGCCTGGGGCTTATTATCAGAGATTTTAGAAGAATAAATTAAACAAGTAAATCTAGTGTGAAGGTGCCAAGCAGCCAGTGAGTGACAAGAGGCAATTTCTGGTCGAGGTCCCCGGGGTTATCGGCACCTTGCTCCCACAAACTGTCTTTTATAAGGTTGTCTCGTATGGCTGGAATGGCTTTTCCAAAATCTGTTAGCGGGGTCTGAAATGAATGGAAAATTTCCCCCTGACATAAGTGAACCGCATGTGAATCACACCTTAGGCTTCCAGGCTCGTTTCATTCAGGGCCTTCCCCAGCAGCCGTTCTGGCAGCAGCACCTACAAAAAGAACGGGCTGTTTTCATTTAAATAATTTAAGATGCCCTGTCTAGATATCTTTTCTGAACTAAGTGACAACCTGATTGTATCTCCCACACCTTTGACTTTCATTAATCCCTCCCTTCCTGAGTGCTGAACCTGCTCTTGTTTGTGTAACGCTCGGCGCGTAGGTTGCCAGTTCTGGGTCAGCAACGTGTCCCTCCCCATGCGAGCATCTCGCGTGTCTCCGGGTTTGGCAACGGCACGGAAAATGCTGGGAGATCTTTACAGGCTGTGCAGCAGAGGCACAATCTTGTTTTATTTATTGCATCAACATAAACCATTCCTTTTTTTTTTTTTTTTCCTTCTTTTTTTCAGTACCAAACTCGGTAATAGGGAAAGTTTAATTTCCTGGTATTTCAACATGTAATTTGAAAGACTATGGAAGCTTCAATCCCAGAGTTTTTGACAGTGAAGCAAACTCACTATCAGTACGGGAAAGTGTTTATTTGTGTGTGTTGGTTTTTAAGGGAGTTGCAGTGCTAGTGGATGTCTTCATGCTGCTTGTTTCCTCGATTCACTATCTCAGAAGTTGCCATATTGAAGAGAAGTTCATGATTGCTTGTGTTACAACAGAAGGCTCATTCTTACAGGTTGATGCAACTTGGGACAAATTGGTGATATTTTGTAAGGTAATCGTGTTGAAAAAACAAATTTCTGTTCTTTTGCTTTTTATTTAGATACATCACTTTGAGATCACAGCATGAAAGCAGCATGAAATGTTATGGCGAAGACAGCACAGCAAGAAACAGCAGTCTCACAAATACTCACAAATCAGGTAATCATAGCATCATATGTCTGCTTATTTTGAGGCTGAGTTTTTAAATGAGATCAGTGTTGACCATCTTCCACAGGGTGTGCTTCTACATCTCTGTAGCTTTGTTGATAGACTTCTCTAGTATGACTTGTGTGTTGGCTTCAGGTCCTGTAAAACGTTATTTTACGTAACCTCACGTGTAGGGCATAGGAGATGCCCACACTTTAAAATCTCTCTTAAAGGTCCAACTTGGCTGTATTGTCTGCTACAGGCAAAGTGGATATTACCTAGACTAAAAAAGAATAAAATAAAAAAAATAAAAGAAGTCATGATGTTTAGTCTGTCAAAACTGTTAGAGTTGAAGAATCCTTTCCAGAGTGCTCGTACAGCTGCATTTCTAAAACGTTACATTCCTCTTGCACTGGCAAGGCGAGGGACTGGACTCAAAATAGGTTGTCCCTCTTTCCTGAAAGCTTAGCCATATGCTGTTTCCCACATACTATTTCTTCTGTTATTTTTCTTTTTTTAATTGTTTATCTGTCTCAGGATGTTTTCTTCTTGCTTGTTTTTGCAAAACCCAGCATATGTCCTCTAACTGTTTACAACATTTATAGTTGCAGCAAAAGGCAGTCACATTGCAAGCTTTGGAGCATAAACACTGTAGAGGTCAGGAAAAAGAAGTGTGTTGTAAGGATGCTCACCTCATCCTCCATCAGTGTTGGGCATTGCTGTTATCTCAGCAGCAGCTGATGGATTGATGTTTGGGTGGAAAGGCAGAAAAATCCTCCCCTGTGCCCTCCACCCAGCATCAACAGCAGCGAGCAGAGATGGTAATGCAGCTGTGTATCTAACCTGTCTGCTTTTGGGTTCTTCTATGCCAGGGCTTCTGTCAGGTCTACAGCTCTAGGGCCTTGCTGGAGGAAGACAAATCACTCAATGCAATCAATTCAGTAACAGAAATAAACCAAAATATGAAAAAGAGGGCACTTTTGATAATAGAACATGTCTATCTTCCAGGAAGCCTGTGAAAGTATTGCCCTTGATCTGAGGCTTACCAGAAGGTACTACGATTTATTTCATAGAAACAGTCAGCTAGCTCAAATCAGCAGAAGATATTTCAGAGCAAGGACATTCCCTAGACTACTGCAGCCTGGATTGAATGTACAATAATACAGTGTTGCATATTAAAAATCATGTTTTGATTACAGATAATCAGCACTTTTGTCTTTTGTAAGCTTTTCACTTATGTAGTCGTAGAAATTGCAATTCAAATGGTGTTCTAGCTGTAGTAAAGGCTTTTATTTTTATTTTTTTTTCATACTGTGAGGTGATCTCATTTTATATTTGCCGTTTTTGTAGAGTAAGGTGATACATGTCTCGGTCACAGTTCTGAGAACCCTTCAGAGCATCTTGAAACTGTAACACTGTTTAACTGACAACAAAGATAATCAAATTTACAGAAACAACCTTCTTGATTTCTTTGGAATTCATGCAACTCTATCTCCCTTGTGCTAAGTGGAGTTAATGGTTTCATTTACAATCAACCTCTTCTTCTTGAATAACAAGAATTTTACTGTTTGGGGGGGGAGGGAGGAGGGCAAAACATTTAAATTACCAGCACCTGAGAATGTAATTTTACTTGGAAATTGCAGTGAAAGGAGAGGAAAATGCTTCTGTCTCTCTTGCTTTGCTCTCCCCTTTTCTAGAGCCTTTTCTGAGATGATCACAAACGCTTATTTTTTGCTGTGCTTTTCTCCCCAAACTTCATTGAAGTGGAGAAATGGCTTCCTTCCCCTCCCTCTGCCTACATTCTTTTCCCTTCCCCCAAATCCAATGTGTTCTTTATTAAACTGAATTAGGACATTCTAGTCTCTCTTAAGAGTAGAAATGAGAACAGCTTAAATGAGCAGCCACATGAGATTCAGCAGCCTTTCCAACTGCATTGCAGAAGGAGCTCAGCTGCAGAGGGAATGATAATTTCTGAAGGATTTGTGCAACTGTTGAAGACTCACCAGCATTAATATTAAAAAGGAGATAATCTATTTTCCTTTTCCAAGACTACATAGCTTTCCTACAAGCCTCGCTATAAAATCATTGTACTAAACGCTTTGCTTCCTACCATACCCTTTTCATTTCTGCAATTATTTCATTTGCTTATGTTCTCATACACTGGGGGGGTGTTTCTGACATTTGGGTTGATATGCAGATTTGGGCATGGATTTGAGACCTCTGCCATGCAAAGTAAGTTAGCATTGAAGTGCATTAGAAAACATGAGGCATTATGTGCAATATTGGAGTGAAAGGGGTTTTCTGCCCTGGTTATTTGTTCTCCAGATAGATGTGAAACATTCTCATTGGTCCTTGAAAGCCATGTTATTCTGACATTAGTTCTAGCTAAAACAGCCAAAATCCCAAAACGTTTTCACTCTTGTTTTCAATTATTGCCTCTGTTGTTGAATCAGATGTGTCTTCAGAGCTTCTATCTGAAGAAAATGTAGGTTTGTGGGTTACCCTCTTCACACCTCTCTCCTTTTCTCTCTGATAATTCACATAATCACCTTGCTTGGCATTAGAAGCTTCTCATTCTGTTTCAGTACTATGCCGTTTCTTTTACATGCCTATTTCTTGTGCCAGAAAATGAGAGCTTGGATTTGACTTGTGGCTGCAAGAAGAGTTACAGAAGCAGGCAAACCTGGTATCTCCAGGGCCTGCAAGAGCAGAGAGGGCTCTGGAACATGCCATTTTCCCTCTCCGCCGTTGCTGTGCTGCTCAGTCATTCAGTGTTACTGCAGTCTTCACATCCAAAGATGCAGTGTTAGTTGTAGCTCTGCTCCTACAAGCTGAGGTTCAGTAGTGCTGGGGAGGCATTTTTTATATAATTCCTTGTTGGTTTTTCAAGCTGCTCGGCTTGGCGGGTGCTTGGTGGTGGTTGTGCTTGGTGGGGCCCAGCTGGAAGTCATGCCCAGCTGCGCTGGATTCCAGGAAGCCTGTACCTAAGGGGCTGGTGATCCTGCCAGCATTGATGGGACGGGGTCTGTCAGAGCATGAACAACTGCGTGGCTGTGCAGCTGTCCTAAGGAAAATCAGAGAGAGAGGTAGTGTGAATGACAGTTGTCTTCACCTGAATATATCACATCAAGGTACTTCACAACTCTGAATAACAGAACAGACCAATAAAGATTTTCCAATAAAAATGGCTAAAAATTGAATACTGTAAGTCCTTTTTGTGTCAGTAAAAGCTGAGTGGGAAGCAGATTTTGAAGGAAAGGAATGGGAAGGCAATAGAGAACTACTCTAGGATTTACCACAGTTAAAACTGAAGCTTTATGTTCTAATAACAAAAAGAGCCGCTTGAGAAAGCCCTGTCTCAGCCTGCCCAGGTGAAGGGCAGTAAGACAGGATAGAAACCTGTTAGTGAGCTGCTCACAGGGTTTGGGGAAGACACAGCAGGGATGTGCTTCTATAAGTGTTACAGAAATATATTTTAGATTGCCAAAAGTGGTCACTAATTTGAATTGATAACGTGTTACAGTTTCTGACAACGTAAAGAGGAATTTTGCCCCAGCAAAGGAGCAGTCCACTAGTACTGGTGCTTGTGAAGAGCTTCAAGTCCTGCAGAAACCTATTGAACATTGAGGCCTTTTATCCCGTTGCCTTCTTAATCACGAAAATCAAGGACTTTATCCAGTCCTCATCTTCCTTTTTAACCTGACTCCTCAATTCATGTATAGAACGTGCAGTTTTTTGATTAAAGTGACTGCTGAAAATTTTGGACTAAGCTGGGTGACGTATAGGATCCAGTTGCATTCTGATTCACAGGCGTGCACCATACTGAGACAGCTTAGAGCAGAGCTGTAATAACTTTACAGCCCATTAATGAGTCTGCTTCATTCAGTCTGCTCCTCTACAGTCTTTTGTCATCCCTCTCTATTAACTTAGTTGAAACTGAAATTGGCTGCCAGTCAGGCCTGCCTCCTCAGCCCGCACCCAGGCCAGCTTCCAAGCACTGACTTCTGGAAGTGCTGTTTTGCTCCGAACTTCACGTGGATTCAGGATGGTTCAGCCATGTAACTTGACTGGTGTTGAAAATTCTGCAGGTTTCATGTTCTGTGTTGTGTGATGGAGCCTGGGAGATGTTTTGGTGGGGGGAAGGCTGTGTTGGAATTACCACCTCTCCGATATCCGCCTGCCTACTCTTTTCTCTGAGATCTTCTGACTATCCCATTTATCAAGGATGGAACATTGCACCTTCTGTAGCGAAGACTACAGAATTACAAGGATTAGAATATCCTTGTGTTTAATGGGTATCAGAATTAAGCTGTGGCAGGGTTCCAGGAAATACTTGTGCTTCCTTTTGGTTGCTTGTGTTTGAAGAGGGAGGCAGTTGGACTGGAGAAAGAGATTTCAGCAAGCTTGGCATGTCTGGCTTCCAGTTTGGAGTCTTGCAGGATGCCGGGGACCACGCTGGAATGAAGAGAAAAGAGTTGGAGGAGTGAAATTTTGTCCCTTTTAAATCAATTGAACTCCCATTAGCCTGAGTCCAGATTTGATCTATTATCTTAAATAGGATATTTCTTTTTCTAGGCAGTCTAAAGAAATGCTTCTGTCCTTCTGCATTTGTTTTCATGCTTCTTCATAATGATTTTGTAATAGGGATATATCTGTAATGTCAAAAATGCAATAGGTTAAGTAGCATGAATGACTGCTGGAAAGAAAATGTAGAATTGCAGAAATGTTGTTGCCCTTAAACTTGTGCTGCTTTTGGAAGTTGAGTTGTTTGATTAACCATTTAGTAGCGATAGTTGTTGTCATCATTGAAGGAAACAGAAATTATTCAGTGCACTGTCAATAGCTTCCTAGTTGGCCAGAGACCAAGTGTTGTGCCTCTGAAGCTTTAATAATGTAATGTACAGCACTGCGATACTCTTTCTTAGTTTTAAGCCAGTGCAATTTATTTAACCAGTGCATACCCTAAGCACTTTGTTAAAGTTGGTTGCAGATGCGCAGCATATACAGCATCAAGTCCTTGAATTTAAACTTCTTCAAGCCATTATTTTGGGGACTGGTTTATTGGGGATTATGCTTCTACTAATGTGTCTATTGGTGTTTTTGTTTGTTTTTGTTCATTACCTGAGGGCAGAAAACCAGCGCTTTCAGATGGGTACACTTTTCCCCTGCCGGCTCAGTGATGCTTTTGAAGGAATGTTCCCAGCTTTGGGTCATTAGAAAGAAAAAAGTTCTGATTTTTTGTATATCACTCCAGTAGTGACTGAGCTCTGTATCTTTTGCTATCCTTTGGCAGGTGCTTCAGCGTAACATTCTACTAGGACTTGGCAGCTTTTTACAATTGTCTTCTTTCTGGGGAACTGTGGTGACAACTCGGTAATCTACCTAAGGGACAGCTGTGTGTCCTGCCTCCCAAATGGGAGACGAGTTGAGGACAGGAGGTGTCTCCGAGCATCTTTTCTTTTTGCTATTTGTGCTCACAGCTCAGATCTAGCTTTCCTGCCTGTGTGTCAGGGCACCTTGAGAAGCCCCGGGTGGAGAGGTGCAGTGAACGGCGCTTGGCCCTTGCCCAAGGGCTGGGCTCCTCGCTGCCGACCACAGAAGTCACTGTGGCCTCTGCATGGGCGGTAGTGGCGTCTGCCACCACAGTGCCCGACAGCCGGGGAGGCTCGGGGCTGAGGGCCTGGCTGGCCACACACTGGAGCTTTCAGGTGCAGTCGGCACCAGCGCTCGCGCTGTCCTGATCCTGAAACTCCTGCGGTCTTCACCTTATCTCCTGTAGTATTTATTCTCACTTACTGATCTGTCTCACTATTATGCCCTGTCATTAGTGACTAACACTTATTGCTTCAAACAGAAACCTTTCAAAGAAGGACTAAGCAACAAAGAATGAACTTCTAGTAAAGTTAACAAATGAAAATAGGGACACAGCTGCTCTGTATAGCAAGCACACCCTTCAGGGCAGACCCTCCGGTGCCTGTTTCCTTTGGAGATCTTGTGGAAAAATGTGTTCCCACAGTGTCACAATCCTTGTATAGGATTCCCCTCTTGCTATATAAGTTGGTGGCCTTGCAGTGTGAAATATCACATAGTGCTATTTTTAGGCCCTTTGAATGTTTTCTGTAGGCTTTGTTTAGCTTCTCTTCATAATTTTTATAGGAAGCCTTTGAAGTTGGATTGTGGCTGAAGAACCTTGTTGGCAACCTGACCATTCATTGTGAACTGTTTTTTTTTTCTTTTTTGATTTTTCTTTCTAATTTTTAAAATTTTATCTCTGTAAAAATCTGCAAGGGAGCATGTTCAGAGAAAAAACTGAAGCAATATATATTTCTGGAAGGGGAAATAAACTTGCAGTTATTTTCAGCTCTTACCTGTCACGTGCAAATATTACGTGCTAATGGTTACAGATGGCTTACACGTACCTGCGTGCACACTGCTTCGGGAGCTATGATTTTCTGTCATGCATTGTGCCAGAAAGAAAAGTGGGAATTGTGTGTGTGTGTGTGTGTGTGTGTGTGTGCGCGCGTGCCTGTAGCTATGTATAAACGTACTTGCAAGCATTAGCACAAAGCTTGTTAATATCCATCTGGCAATGGTTAAAATTTTCTCCACCAGTGACTTCACATTTATTCATCCAGATCAGGGATTCTCTTAAGTTTAAAAAGATAGGCTATCAGTACTTGGGAATCTTTGTAAAGCAGCACATTTAGGAAGGCAGATGTGAGAGATGCATAGTTATGAGTGTGGTTTTTTGTTCTTCTTACAGCTCCGCATCAACCTCTTTTATGTTAAAATGCGTCTATGTGTTTAGGCACAGGGTGACTGCATGTATGTGCACGGTGGTTGTTTCTTGCAGTGGAATAGTAAAATGAGCCAGTAATGTGCCTGTGTATTTTTTGCTGTTGTTTTATTCTTTAAAAACAGTATAGACATCTGTAAAATGTTGCTTTAAATTACAATTTATACAGGAGGAATGATAAATGATTGCATTTAGCATAAATTACTCCATTAAAATAATGCAAACCGAAGAAGGATAAGAGGATCTAAAACAGAAATTGAAACAATCCCTGTATGTTATACACATAACCATAAAATAATCATAAAAGATTTCCATGGATTGGTTTGATTTTAACATTAATCTGATTCTATACAGAATATGAGCAAGCCAAACTATGTGCACAGATGTGATTGGGTAACTATGCTTATGATTTTATTGTCACAGCAATAAATTTTAGCCTTGCCCCTTCTTTTTCAGTTACGTGGTATTTTCCTACCACTGGTGGACATCTTCTGTAAATACCCTGGAAGTTGCAAGAAGCTGTAAAAGACTCTGTGCAAAACCTGGATTGTGATTACATTTTTTGTAGCTCTTTTTGCACCTGGATATGTCAGTGCTTTTATTCAAACCTATGTTTTTCTTTTACCTTCCTTTTCAGGGTTTTTGGGAGGCATCTGTGATGTCTCTCAAGTTAGTGTTATGTAAGGCCTTGAGTTAGTGCTGTTTAAATGGGTACATTCCTTCTGACAAGATGACTATCAGTAGGAAGGCGATTTGGCTTCATAGTTGATTGTCTGTCTAAAGCCTCATCTTGAGAGAGCAATATTTGGCCATCTGGAACTGCCTGCAATGGAACAGCCCCACTGCTACAGTTCTGCAAGTGATTGGTTTGCAAAGTAGGAGCCTTTAGCTTCCTGTGAGACCACAACCATTTATGTGGCAAGCCAGCACTTACCTTGCTTTGTCTCACTCCACAGGTGCCTGGTGCCCTGAACCTATTAACTGTGCAAGATTTGTGCTTTGGTCCTCTCTTGAAGATGTGAAGCAACGTCGAGTCTGAAATTGGAATTACTAATAGACTGGAGGAAATCTTAGTCCTTGTGATACACACAGACATGCTGAATTATAAGTAATTCTAGCTTCTTTTCCCCTCCCCTCCCCTTCCCTTATTCAGCTATCTCAGGGTTCATAGAGATTTCAATGGTTTGTGTGCCTGTAAGTTTGGAGCAGAAGTGACCAAAAATGGGGGACCAGCAATTGTATAAAACCAACCATACTGCCAACAGCAATGAGAACTTGTACTACCAACAGCACCAAATGAACTCCCTTCCATCCATAAATCACAGTTATGGGACATCTGTCATGGATGCTCCTCAGGCGTCCCCACTGTCCCCGCCGTTTCCCCAAGATTCAAGGGACAGTGTAGCTTTGCCTGGAGGGTCAAAAAGTCTTGGGTCAATGGACACATCTAGACAAACTAGTTGGACGCATTCTGTCTCAGGAAACCATGTCCCTTTAAGGAACAATCTGAATAATCAAAATGCAATGTGGAGCCCCCTGGGCCCGGGCGAGTCTCATGACGGATACCAATATTCTTATTCTCAACCTAGTGAAAATCGATCACAAAAAATTACCAGTGGGGTCCTGCATAAATTGGACTCCTTTACGCAAGTCTTTGCGAACCAAAATCTACGAATTCAAGTCAACAACATGGCTCAGGTTTTGCACGCCGAGTCTTCGCTAGCGGATGGTTCTGGGGACAGTGCACTCAGGCAGCTGCTCTCTCAGAAGCCAGCGGTGGAGCAACAGCCGGCAACTTCCAGCGTGCAAAGATACCAAACGGGACCGCAGCAAACACACCCCAATTTTGCAAACGCGCAGCAAAAGCAACAAATGCAAGTCATGCAGCACCCCCAGCTGTACTATGACTACCAGCAGCACTTATCGCAGATGCAGATGCACTCTGCCTTTCAGCCAGGACAGCCACACGTGCAGCAAATGCAGTCTGCGCAGCTGCTGCCGCAGCAGATGCAGCACTTGCCGCAGCCTCAGTACTACGCTCAGCCGCAGCAGGGCCACCAGCGGCTCTCCGTGCAGGAGCTCCAGCAGCAGCAGCCGGCCCGGCAGCAGCCACAGAGGCAGTGTCCAATGCAAATAGCTCAGTATTACCCAACGCAACCTGTCGTGCAGCAGCAGCAACACATGCAATTGCAGCTTCCTCCGTACCACAGGGAAGCTGATCCAAAGACTATGCATGAACCACACCAGTACTCTCAGGATCCGAGTCATCCTGTACAGCTCATCCAGTTGGGAGCAGTGCCTCAGTATTGCTACCAAGACCCCCATGAACAGTATAGGCATTTGTACCCACAGAGTTTACTGCAGCAGCAAGAGGATCAGCAAAAGCAATATCCAAATGAGAGCCGAGGCCCCTCTCTGAACTCTCACGTTGGCCTCACTCCACCAGAGACAGCGGAGGATCCAGCACAGCAGGAGGCTAGTTCTGTAGGCAACACTGTTCCTCATCGAACCCTTCTGCCACTGTCGGGAGCTCATCTGAACAACAAAAGCTCTCAGCAAGACTCTCCCAGCACTATGTGGCCTCAGGTATGTAACACCTCTCTCTCCCGCTCAAACTTGTTTTGCAGAAGAGTAACAATACGCAGAAATGAAGCAGTTGCAGAAGCCCAGAGAGGCTGGGATGGGAGCAATGGGAGTTGCTGGGACGTTTTAGGGAACAGCATTAACAGACTTCTCCTGGCTATGTTGCTGCTTTGGCTGCAGGCCAGGCTGGCAGAAATACACAGCTGCCATGGTGGGGACTATCAGTTCCCTAACAAGAAGCAATTTGGGAATTCCGAGTCGGTTTCTGGTGAGGAGGAGCCCAGTTACCACTGGGTGCTCCTGCTGATGTTTCAACACCTGAGGGCCTGAATGTGCATGAAGACACAGTCAACAGTTGTGTTTGTTACTCACAAGAGTAACACTGTAGAGTCGAAGTGATGGCTTTACCAGGTGGGTATAAGCAAATGCACTAGCCTCAGGAAGAGAGGTGCAGGTTTGCTAGATAAATACATAGCTCTCAATTCAGACTTTTTTAGTATTAGCAAGATCTTACGCAAATTGCAGACATCAAGTATGAAGGCCTTTGTTTATGCATTGGTATTCCCTGAAAAATAATTTTCTCTTTTTTCACCCTTCCTACCTATTGATAGCAGATGCAACTGTCAGATGGCAGACTGCAGCCACTGTCCCCAGAACAAAGGTATTGTAAGTTTTGGTGTTTTTAATGGAAATATGAGAAATACAAAGGAGTGTTGCAGTGGTGGGAGGACCAGAAGGGGGAAAGTAGGTCATAGATGCTATTCTTCTAGAAGCACCTCTAGTTGTGTCCTTTGTAGGTAAACATTTGCATGATTTCCCCTATCCCCAGCAATAAAATTAGAGTATTAAGAAAAATGCTTTAGGTATTAAGAAAAGAAAACGAAGAAACAGTGAAGCCCAGGGAGCACTATACTTTTAAAGCTCTGTGACATGTGTATGAGGAGGGATGGTGCACTATTTAGATTTCTGTCTTTGGCAGTGAGACCTTTTCTGAGGGTCTCGCCTCTGTGGAGGGCTGAAGTGTCCTCCAGCACTGTCATTTCCCATAAGCAGGGGCTGTCACAGGTAGGATCTGTCACAAGTAGATCTTTTCTTCTAACCCAAGGGCCCTCAGGCTACCCTAGAGTGAGGTCTGTGCTTTCATGAGTGCACCGTACTGAAAACTTTCCTTCTCTCTGTCTTGAGAGCAGCTGATCTAGCTTATTGCCCACATATTTCACCCTATGCTTACTTGTGGCTTCCTAGTTATTTTATTGTAAAACTTTGTTGACATCCTCGATTAAAGGGCTTCTTTTATATCAAAGAGAACATGCCAACTGATGTGTCCTCTTCTGTTTCATGCTGCAAAAAACGTAGTGGCCAGAACAGAGAAGCATTTCCTGAGAGAGGTGACGTGAAGAACAAGCTAACATGTTCAATATGCTTGAAGGAGTTTAAGAGTTTGCCTGCTCTGAATGGTCACATGAGGTCACATGGAGGAGTGAGAGCATCTCCTAACTTCAAACAGGTACTGTTCATTTTACTTCCATATTTGGCGCTCTCCTTTTCGTGTTGATGTTTGCTTGCTTTGCTCTGCTTTGCTTTGCTATTAAAACCTGTTCTCCCCAAAGCTGTTTTGTTGTGTCATGCACTCCACAAGGAGAAGTATACGTAATTCTGCTAATTTACAGGTCAGAGGTCTTGCTCAAAAGTGAGAGGCAAGGGAAAAGGGAAGAGAAGCCCATATGCCTCTCTGTGTTTCTCTGCACATTACAACCACCCCACTGCAAACTCATGGCAGGAACTCTATTTTTTTTTCCTCCATGTTTGTTTATTATATTAGAAATATCAGGAACATCAAGTCTTCCTTATTTTCATTTAGGCTGCTTGGATGACTAAGGGATGTTTATTGGAAGCATTCCCAGGCTTTAATTGAAGGAGCAGGATTGTTGAATCTTTGACAGCTTTCTTCCCAAGTGTTTTAATTCTATAGGTATCAACAAACACCAGGCTAAAAATGTGAGTTTGGAATGTTCCGGATAAGAATAACTTGCCCCGTCAATCAGTTTTTCATTGTCCTAATATTTTAGAAATCTGATTCTAAAGGATAATACTACAGGAAATCAAATGGTTCGAAATACTAAAGGGAAACCAGTGCTACCAGAACTGGTAGCATTAACCTATCTGTGTCTTTTTGATTTCAAGTGGGTGACAGGGGAGTTCTGCGTTCATAGTCACAAAAGGGGCACGTGTTCATTCCCCCACCTTTTGCGAGGTGACTTGTAAAGAGGTTTTGTGTGGCTGTTTGGCACTGAGGTTGAATCCCACGTGGAAGTTGCCAGCCTGACTCGAGGCCACGGTGAACCGCGAGCCGTGGTGCTCCTGTGTGTTTCGTAGTGCTGGCCACTGTGTGCAGCCCCGATCCTACAGTGCATGGCACGTCAGTGCAGAAACGCCACCCTCGCTGGGGCTGAAAGCCTTTAATTGTCTGTGCAGGATGAAGGAGAGAAACCACCACAGCAGCCGCTGCCTAAAGAGGTGGAAAGCCTCGCACCCATCGTCATGCCAGTGTCTGTCCCTGTAAAGCTTCTGTCACCCGAGCCCAGCACGCAGCCCTCTGCCAACTCTGCCGCAGTCAAAGACAAGCCTGGCAAGCCCGTGTCAGATGACGAGATGCCCGTTCTCGTGAAGATGACTTGCTCTCCGCCGCGCAGCCCCAAAGTGGCCAACCCCTGCTCGTCCGCTGTGAGTGTTGCGTTTCTTGCCACTAACTGTGCTGTGCTTCTTAAATCCCTTTGCTTTCAGTGCTGCTACGTTCTAAAATGTCCACACTTCTGAACATTTTCCAGGGTCCAGAATCTTAATGATGACAAATAAACAAAAAAGGCCTGTAGCTTCTTATCGTTTCTTCCTCAGTCCTTTGAAAGTATTAATTTTCTCTTTGCTGGGGAATCAAGACCTCAGCTGAAAATAAATCATTTGAAATTGGAATGTGATATTCTTTTATCCTGCTAGAACAAAGGGATTTAGTATCTTTTTATTGTTTTTGTTTTTTTCCTTTTCGGGCTGCTTTGTTTTTATGTTACTGCTTTCATTCAGCAGTTTTATTTCTTCCTGTTTTTTTTTTTTTTTTTTTTTTTTTTTAAGTCAGTTGTATGTGCTTATTTCACCCATAGAAGGGAAAGCTGTGTGCAGTGCTGGCAGTATGTGCTGGTAGGAAGCAGATACAAAGCTTCCCTACTCAGAGTTTTGCAGTGAAGTCACTTTTCCTTTTGCCTCCATGTGGGTCAGCCCCCAGGGTTGATTGCTGGGAATTGTGAAACAGGAAAACCCGTTAGGCTTAGCACTCACATTGCACTCGTGAAACTGAACTTGTCAGGCAGCGTGGTGAGGAACTGAGGAGCACTTGAATGAGATGTGTGAATGCTCTTTACTCTTTGCCTGGAAAAAACCTGGAGCGAAGTGTTACTTATTTCTCCTTCTAGTGCAGGAATAGTTGTTGCTTGTGCTCCTTCGAATCCATGTTTGAGGAGCAGGGCATGAGAAGGGGTTCCTGGGAGGTACGAGGCCTGTGCTGTTCCATCAGCGTAATGCAGAGAAATATTTGTGTGACTTTATTTTCTTTTTCTTTTCTTTTTCTTTCACCCATGTTTGTCCAAGCAAGGAGGCAACATATGCCAAAATGAGTGGTTCTCTATCGTATGTGTATATTTAATTTGTATATTTTTATGATACTTGCATTTTTATTACTTTGATATTTGATATCCTTTCTGAGTCTTCACCCAGACATACAAATGCATTTAAATATATATAAAATCTTTTAGCTTTCAGCTGAAAGTTTTAGGCGTAAACTTCCACTTTACTATAGTAACAACCAGCATCTTACAGTACTTAGCTTGTAACTGAGCAGTGCGGTTTCTCCTTTCTATTTCTAGTTTTTGGAGAGGGAAGGGGCAGTCTTTTCTGAATCCTTGAGCTCTGAGTGGGAGATCTTTGCCAGAGGCATCAGAGTAGGTGGCTTGGGTTGTGTATTTCTGCAATGTGTATGAAATGATTTGGTTAAATCTGCCAGTGTTTGGCTAAATGTGCATTCACTCGATCAAAATCCTGCTTGCAGTCCTTGTTATTGCCCAAGCCAATGAAATTTGCAGTTTTCTCCCTGGTTTCCACTTTTTATATAAGCAGCAGCAATGGCAATATTGAAAGGTCACATCATCTACAGCTTCCCCTTCTGTGAAGGGATTGTGCCACTGGAGACTTCTTTATCCCCCAAAATGGAGCTATGCTGCTTTTATTAAAGCAGTGCTTTGAGCTCACACAATGTCACAGAAACAGTAAAATCAAACAGCAGAACAAAAATAAATATTCAGCAAGACTAAAGGACGATGGGTGAACCCAGGGTGAACCGAAGCAGCAAATAAAGGTCCAGGAGGATCTGCCCAAGGTGGATCTATTGCAGTGGGACAGCAGGGCCTAGGGGATACATTCCTTCTTTGGCTAATGGGGCAGCAGTTTCTGAAGCTTCAGAAAGCAGAGGGTGATTCTGCATTGAAAGATCATGGACATCAAGAGGTCCTTTAATATTCAGCGCTCTTTTTTTTAAGTGTTGTTGGCATAACCCCATTGAGACTAAGGTAACCTTCATTATAGGTAGAGTGCCATAGAGGAGAGGGGCTTACAGGATGTCATTTTGATTGATTTATTTCGCACTAGTGGGATAGGAGTACCACCTCTTCCGTATTTAAGGAGCAGACTTGGATTAGGTAGGATTTTTTTTTAATTAGTTCAGTTTTCTCCCCTTTTCTGCTCTGTAAGCCATAAATGTCCACTGTCATGATGGCCTGTGGCTGTGATTACAGGTAATAACTTTACATGTAGTTCTTCGTTGTTCTCAATGTTTATAAACTACAAAGTATTCTGTAAGGCTGCATTTTCTCCCGCAGAAGGAAAACTCTTCCAAAACTTACATTTTTTTAGAGAGAAAAAATGTCAACAGCTGTTGGAGAGGATACAGCCATGATCTAACAGAGAGGACAGGACCTCTGTAATCAAAAACATTTCCACAAGCTGGAACATATTAACATAAGGGATAAAGGGTGACATTACTAATGCTCCTTTAACATGGTTTTTACTGGGATTCTGAAGAGCCACCCATGGTGTAAAGATATATATTGTCTAAACATTCACTGTAATAATTTACTTTTATATAGGAGTAGTATTTACCAGAGGAGAGAGACATTCTGAAACACGCTATCTATTCACAGTTTTATTCAGCTTTCCATGTTTATTCAAAATAAGATCTACACTATGAACACCTAAAAGTAGCATATTTAATAATACCAGATTCTATGTGTCCTTGAAGCATGACCCAAGCACCTCTTCCTTTTCTTTTTTTTCTTTTTCTTTTCTTTTTCCCCTAGGAAATGTGGATTCTGGGTTAAGGCAACTCCTGCACCTTCTGCTTTCTGTGGACTGCAGGGATTTTGTATTAAATGCTTTTAATCTTCAAAACCTGCAAATGCTAGAGTATCTATTTCCCTGGTTGCCATCTATTACACTTTTTCCCCAAGGAAAGAGGATAGAGTTAAGTTCAAGATTCCTTGCAGCTGGACTGTACTCAAGCTGATGGGAATGTAGTGATAAGAGGCAAAGAATTTGAATTTATTACATTTTTTTTTCTTCCTTTCCTGCTGCTGAGTGCTGCAGTAATTTCCCTGAGCTCATATATGCCTTTCCCAGTCAAACACAATGAATGCATTGGAAAACATCTTGCATAAAGTTTCTAATAAACCCCGACTGGTAATGAAGCAACCCCGGATAGCCTGGGGTTGGTACGTGCAAATAGAAATGCCCAGGGTGTTCAGGGAGGGCTAAGGAAGGGCATGGGAGATGATGGTCTTGGAAAACCACTCTCTTCCAAAGGCTGCCAGCAGCCTCTCTGTGTCATCTTATGGCCCAGCCCTGCCTCAGCCCAGAGAGATCCATAAGGAAATGAGATTCTTAGGGGTTTTTCTCTTTCCCCTGACGCTTTTGCACAGGGCCAGGTACTGGGCTTTTCTGTAGCTTTTGCCCTAGACTGTAGGGGCTAATGTGCAACACAAACCACATTTAACCATGGCTACCTAATAAAGCTCTCCATGTTTTCCTTTAGGAAATCAGCAAAAAACCTCTTCCAAGTGCTGCAAAATTAGAAGAAAACTTCAAACCGCTGCAGGACAAGAAGAAGTATCGGCACAGACCCGAGCCTCTCTTCATCCCTCCTCCCTCCTTCAACTTCAGCATGCCCCACTCCGGTGCCACCCTGTACCAGAGCCAGCTGCGCTCGCCGCGCGTCCTCGGCGAGCACCTGCTGGAGCGGGCGCGCGAGCTGCCGCCCTACACTCCGCCGCCCATGCTGAGCCCCGTGCGCCAGGGCTCCGGCCTCTTCAGCAGCGTCCTCACGGCGGCGCACGGCGCCGCGCACGCGCAGCTGCCGCTCACGCCGCTCACGCCCACGCCCCGCGTGCTGCTCTGCCGCTCCAGTGAGTACCGGCCGCGCCGCGCGGCGCCCTGCCGCCAGCGCCCGTGTGCTCTGCCCCGGTGCCGTCGCGCTCGCAGGCATCCGCGGGTCTCTTGCTTCACAGGGAAAGTCCATCTTTATGGATGTACTTGCCTTGGACATCTATTTGGCCATATAGAGTGACAGAGCAGTGGAACAGGCTGCCCAGGGAGGTTGTGGAGTCTCCTTCTCTGGAGGTCTTCAAAACCCACCTGGATGCCACCCTGTTCCACGTGCTCTATGTGTGCCTGCTTGAGTGGGAAGTTTGGACTAGATGATCTGTAGAGGTCCCTTCCAACCTTGAATATTCTGTGATCTATATGTCCAAGTATGTATGGTATATTTGCCTTGGATTTTGTACAGGTAGTTTTAGGACAAAAAGTGAATAGAGGAGCCTGAGCAGTGAGTGAAATTGTGATCTTTGAATGTGATCTGCTCACAGAAAGGAGTACCATACCTGTCTCTCAAATGGGAGCCTTCTGAAATGGAGGGGAAAGACCTGGTTTGAGACACGGTTGATTTGAAATACCTGTTATTTAGTGCTTACACAGTTGATATAAAATACTTGTTCTTTAGTGCTTCACAAGAAAAGGTTGCTAATTGTACATGATCATGGTAGTACAAGCACGTATAGGTTATGACACTTCTGTTGTCTGTAACTATTTAAATTATTCCTGTGTGTAAATGTTGAGGGAAGATACTTTTTGCTTAATAGACTGGAGGAATTCTGCCCGTAGAGAAGAGTTTGTTACTGAATGCTGAGTTACTTCAGACATTGTCACCAGGGTTACATATTTTGCAATGTAAATTAACTGCTTTCATAGCAGTTCCTTAAGGTTCTCATTGCAGCTCTTTCAATTCATTCTCAACTTTGTAAAATAAGTGAACTGCATGCTACCAGCATGATAACTCAATCTGCAAGTTAAATTCCTATATACAAAATCACTACACATGTCCTGAAGGCCAAAGAAGAGAATGTCATTCCTCCAACTTCTCTCTTGGAGGTTGCTAACTTTGTATTGTCAAAATTACCGACTTTAAAGTCAAAAACAACCATGTTACCAACTTCTGTACCTTGTGTTGATATTTTTTAGCTCCTTGTTCTTAGTTTTATACTATCAGACCATTCTAGTGCTCTTCAGGTGACAACAAATTTACTGGGTGGCACTTACTGCAGCTGCCTCCAGCAAAAAGCCATTATCTCCCCCGGTGGAGTCGCAGGCACTGACTCCTGGGTTTGTTTGACTCGGTTCTCTATCTTGCAGTCTCTTTCCTTCCTGCTTGCTCGTTCTGGGAGGTGTTTAGAAAGGGGGGTTGGCGTTCTCGTTCAGAAAAGTAGTCCATGCACAAACTTTTTCCTGCTTTTGTAACTTTGTTAAAATCTAATTGTTAGCCTCCTGAAAGGCCAAGGTAAAACGAGTGCTGCTGAGTACAGAGATTTGTCTCTGTGTGTGTTTGGGGTTTTTTGTGCTTGTTGCATGTCAGTGATACTTTAAATTTATTTAATCTTTCCAAAGATGTTCTCAGTGTTTTTGTAAAATACTATGTTTAGAATAGGTAAAAGTGTCTGACTTTTAAATTGTAGCATTTACAGGTTTAAGCTGAATAAACCAACATTGTGGGTCTGTAGGTAAGACAGAGTGGGGAGGAGTTGAAACAATAGCTTTTTTTGAAGAGGGACTGTAAAGCAAACAAGCCAGACAGCCCTGTAGCCACGAATGGAGTTAAAACAAAGACACAAATTTTGCAGATTCGGTCAAAGGGGATGGAGGAGGAGGAGACAAAATTGTAAAATTGTGCAAATTTATGGCATGCTACCAGAATAAGTCTTTCCTGACAGAGGTATGAAGGTAAAGCTTAGGTTATAAAGGCACCTAAAGCACTGAATACATTCTCTGTGTTGAGCTGCTTTACTGCCTAGGCTGCTGTTTACCTCCAGACCAGGAAAGTACGGAGAATTTCTGCTCATGTACTGGTGATACATACTTTAAAGGAAGCTTGCTTTAACCTCTCAGCAACCCACTCAGACCCATTCAGTCTGCTTTATGTAGTTGATTACTCTTTTACGTGAGAAATATACCCAATTACCCAAGAACTGAGTAACCTCTAGCCAAAGGTATATGCCACTGTACAGGTGCTATAAAGTATCCCCCATATGTCCTGATTCACTGATTGCTGCAAAATGTTAATAAGGAGGTAGCAGTACAGCTAGTGGATGTGACATGTCAGCAGTGATATAGTTGTTAAGAAAAATGTGTTTTAAACACAGAAATCCCAATCTTTGTTTCAGATAGCATTGATGGAAGTGTCATTCCAGTGACGCCTGGGCCTGGAGAACAGACTGTTGAACCGTAAGAAATGATATATTTTTTTGTCACTACTTTTACAGACTGGTTCCACCGACTCAGCCTCCCGTACCCAGAGTGGGCAACTTGAGCATTTTCTGCCAGGTTCAAACAATTCAGCTTCCTGAAATCGTGTTGGGCTGTGTGCAGCCCAATCTGCAGCACCTCTAGATGAGGGCTGAGGCCTCTGGGCGCTACGGGTCTGTGGCAGATGTGGATGCCATGGTTCAAAAGTGCTGGGAAGGGCTGGATAGGAGCTAGTGAAGGTGAAAAATGGCTTGTAATGTCTGGGGAAAGGACTGGAAGGAGGAGGTATCCTGATCCAGTACTCTAGTTCATAGCTTGTATCTGGAGGTTTGGAAAAGTGCTGTTTGGGGTGTTCTCCAGGGCAGGCACCAAACAGTGTTGTCCCTTAGCAGTCAAGTCTTTTTCTACTCTCTGCTGAAGCAGAGAGTGCTCCGAGCATGGAGCAGGAAGTTACCATTTCCTGCATCTGGCCTCCTTGGTAGTCAGCATTTGATTTTCTTTAAGGTGTGATGTCTATGGAGTTTACATTGTGTATCGATGCTTTTGTTTGCTCCCCTCCTTCCCCCTTCGCCTCCCCATCTCCCCTGGAGCCTGGTCCTCTCTAGTAACCAAAATACTTATCCCAGTGAGATCAAAGCATTGCATAAAGCAGTCTGACACAGTTTCCTGCCACACTGTGTAATAGCTTTTGTTGGGGGAAAAAAAAGATAATGTGACTTCTGTTTTTGTGTTTGTTTTTTTGTTTTCTGCATATGGTGTAGTTAAATACTTATTTAGTTTATCATCTTTGTAGACGAATCAATATTGGGTCCAGGTTCCAGGCTGACATTCCTGAGCTTCAGGACAGATTACTAATGGAGAAAGATGTGCACAAGGCTACTTTGGTTTGGAAACCATGGCCAGAACTGGAGAATAAAGTCTTCCAACAAAGAGGTACCGTGAGTTGCACTTTTAATACCTCACATGTAATGCTGTGCCTGCTGAAAAAAAATGTAGATTGATTTGTGTACTGTACCATGTATCCCAGAGGTGTTAATTATCATGAATGCTGGGCAAAATACCAAAAGAGCATGTTACAGTTTCAGAGAAACAACTGGTGGCCCTTTATAGTGACCCTTAAAGTGAGGTGAGGGTGAAGTGTGTTTATATTCAAACAAAGGGAGAAGGATTGTTGCTGAGGGGGGTGGTTTTGGGACACTAAACTCCCTCATAAGGACAGAGATCAGATGTGGGAGGCAGTTGGTGGTTCCTGGGCATGTCTTGGGACCATAATTGAGGGAAAATAACATGGTCTCAGTGACTCCTACTAATCCTGAGCACAGTTTGCTCCTGCTCTCAGCATCATCTATTAAAATTTTTTCTGCCCTGGTTGGAGGCACCTTGGTGCCACAGCCAACATCAGTGACCATATCGCTGGCTCTGGCTGTGCAATTCCCCCATCCATACTAAGAATGCACTTTGCAGGACAGATATATCCCCTTCACGGGAGATCTCCTTAAACCAGGAGGAGAAAGAGGAGGTACGGAGGAGGGAGAGTATAAAAGCTGCTGCCTCTGACTATGCCCTTGTTGAGCGACTGTACAGGTCCTCAGCTCTGCCTGTTTAACTGAGTGTTAATGCACTCAAATGTTGATTTGTTTCTGACAGTGGAAGACCTCTTAAATATGAGCTGTTCCAGTGTGTTGCCTGGTGGAGGAACTAACTCGGAATATGCTTTGCACTCTCTCTTTGAGGCTAAAGGAGATATTATGGTAAGATAAACTGAAAGGAGTGAGATACTTCTCTTCCGCAGATAGATTAACATGCTTTATTAAATGGATTTAGATTTGGTTATGCAAAAAAGAGATTACTGATTGATTAGGAGTGATGCTTTAAACCTCGCACAGCATTTTTGGGGGATGACTTCTTCCTTTCATTCTTTAATAAATTTAAATTTCAAAGCAGTGCCTCTCTGGAGGCTTAGTGCACATTTCGGGTAGATAAGATTACTCAGTTTATAGCCTTGGGGCTTTGAATGTCTCCCAGTGCTTTCTGTAGCCCTGATACTGCACAGGCTTTATATTTGGTCACAAAGGGTTTAGTCCTCTTCTAACCCTCATAAAATCCTATTTTGTAGCAGCAATCACATCTGTTTAATTGTTCAGAACTCTGAGTAATTGCACACAGTTCTCATATAGATAATGCATTTAAAATGTTTATCAGTTTAGTGATGGGAATGTTACCAACTGGGACAAAGCGTCCGCTTCCTGGTGTTTAGGAAAGACAAGGGCCCCTATTCCTGAAAAGTCCATTTAAAATAAAATGCCACATCAGGGCTGGAATGGGTCTCCTGAGATTTTCTAACATAGTGGTTTTTAACTTGGGTCCCAATGTCCTTAGGCTCTGTCAATTCAATCTGAGGGGCCTGGAACAGATAACTGAGAAAATGAACTTACTGTCAAGACTTGAAATTTGCTGTACAGGACTCTGTATCTTCAGAATTTCCAAGATCTGCAAATCATCTGTCTCCAAGGTCCAGAGGAGGATTAGCTATACTTGCTGTCACTCCTGACAGATGTTGACCCAAAGAACTGTTCTAAAAGGCTTCCAACTATAAGCAGTGCTGTAGCTTTTCCCAGAAAGCTATTCCAGTGCTTCACCATTCACATGATTAAAACTTTACTTTCAAATCTAACCAAAATCTTCCCTTTTGCAGTTAAACCTTGAACCTATGTTCTTATTTGCTGTGGATATGGAGAAAGCCCATGTTCCTTTTTCTCTTCTACCCTATTTTTACTGTTTCCTCCTCACCCTGGAGTAGGTAGCTGAGAGCAACATAAAAGTTGTTTCGAGTCATTTGTAGGTGTGTTTTTTATGTGGCAAGCAGGAAGGAGCAAGGAACTGGAAGTTACTGAGTACCCACATTTGTGCTGGGCTGGGCGGGTGCTCCTGTGTGAGGCACTGGTGCTTTGTGTGGGAGGTACAGCATAAATGCACCTTGGAGCAATTTGATGTGACGGTATACTCTGCCATCTCATAACACAAATGAGTCTCCCAGCTGCAGCTGTGCTCAGCAGCTCACTGCATTTGCTCATTCTGCTTTTCCCTGCTTCTTTGTTCAGGTTGCCCTTGAGAAGCTGCTGCTGAGGAAGCCAGTGAGATTGAAGTGTCATCCTTTGGCGAATTACCACTACGCAGGTAGGTTTCCCTGGGATCTCGTGGCCGTTGGATGGAAGAGCCCAGAGCTGGCACCCCAGCCCTGAGCACGGGATCCCGCTGCACTCTCTGCTGCTGGCGGCGGGGATGGCAGCCTCTGCTTGGTGCTGTGGGCTGTGCTGAGTGATAGGCTGGAAGTTTTTGGTTACGAGTTTGGTAGTTTCTTACCTGACTGACCATATATAGAAACACTGTGTCCGTGATGATGTTTACGGTTCTGCAGATTTAAAAATAGCTTGAAAATATTTATTTAACACAAAATTTAATGTTGTCTTTTAAAATTCTTGATGTTGATGGATCATCATTCGCTAGCATAAAGATCTTCAATTTCTGTTATATAAATGCCTGCTACCATGTCTTCATTTTCTGATGTGATGGTGCATGATGAGTGCATGGGATAATCATAAGCATCCTTCTAAGGAGACAGTTCTGTTAACTGTCACCAGTGTTGCAGGGTGCTAAATTCTGAGCCCCTCTTTGCATGGATCTAGAATAAAAGGAGCAGGTCTGGAATGATGACTTTACCAAATGCAGCCAGAACATCCTTTTTTTTTTGTATAGATTAGAAGTACTCTGGGCAACACACAAGATAGTGTGTCACCTAAGTGTAGCAAGGGAGCAGATCTCTCTTATGCCCTTCTCCATTTAATGCTTTGTAGTATCTGATGACTGATTTTACAGACAGACAGACTTGGGTTTGGCATAAGAGACTTGAGAAAAAGACTTAAGATTTCATCTCTACTTCAGGCTTGGTAGGCAACAATCCAAGAACGGATTCTGGTGGTCAGAGAGTTGATCACAATATCCAGAGTTTTCCCAAGCAGCAAAGACTCTTTAGTAAAGAAATTCCTTCATCCCAAGACCTGAAAACAAGAACAGAAACGTGACTGTTAATGGCTTTGATGGCACCTGATAATGAGTGAATAGATGTGAGATTCAGGTTTTGAGCCTTGGCTGGGGACGGTGTCTAGGGCCTTTGAGAACAATTCTGTTGCAGCCCAAAGGTTGGACCCTGGAGATGGGGTGAAGAAGAGGGACTTCAACCAGAAGCTGTGACCAGGGTGCCTTGGAGCTCTTGTCTGACAAGGTGGCCCCAAAGCATAATTGTGAGATGATGAAGGGGGTGGGGGCAGGGAGGGAGAGCACAGAGATCAGGATTACACCCCAGCCAGCCTCGTCCTGAGGGAGGGATCAAAATAGCAGAGCAGGTAGCAAAATGCTGCCTGTGTGACAGAAGAAGAATAGTCTTTACTGGAAAAAAAATCACAGTAGTTCAAGGAAGAGTTCAAGCAGGAGCCAGGAGAGACTGTTTAGCTTCCTCTTTTTCATGAAATGATGCTAATTCTGGTGAATTAGCATTGAGACCTGTGGTCATAAGAGTATTCCTATTTCTTAAGCAGAAAAGGAGGGTTAAGTCGGCTTACCACTGCACAACAAAATCTCATCAGTCTAGATTAAGTCCCATAAAATAACAAGCCACATCATTCCTTACTAATGCTCTTGAATGCGACTTGTGATTGCAACTTGTATTGACAGCCATGCACTAGCACCATACAGCTCTTGAAAAATAGCTTGTCTGTGGTTGATAATCAGCCACTGCAGGCGTGTGGGCATTTCTCTCAATGTAGTGCATGGATAGCTTAATATAACTTGAAGTGGTGCTTGTTCGGGTTCACTCTTGGAGCTTTCTGCTTTGTAGGAGATTCAGCAATGGCAGCTCTCAGGCACAGCTGCCTTTAAAGCTGGATAGACCAAAATAGAGCACACCACTGACTCATCAGAATTAATTGATGCTCCAAAGAGTAAATATCCAAATTCACCCTCAGCATTATATTCAAACGAGGGTCCAAGGCAACAGCTCATCCTTGAAACCTTTTGGCTCACGAGGGAAGCAAGTTCTAAAGCTTAAGGCCTTTCTGTTGTTTGGCAGAAGTGCTGAGAGTTCTGGCCGGGGCTGCTTGGCAGAGCCCCTCGTCTCTGTCCCACTGCCTTAACATCTCTCAGGGAAGAGAGAGCGAGCAAGTGTCTAACGCAAGAGGTGCCTTCTAACAGATTCTTGGTTTGTTTTTCTTTTGAACAGTGGAATTTCTCACATCTGAAGTTCCCTTGCAGTGAGAATTGCAGGAAAGCGGCTCTCTGAAATCATGTGCTGAAATCATGCAGTCCCCAAACTTCTGATACTTGATTTGATGTTTTGTGGGTCAGACCTAGCATTAAATTATATAATGGATTTGAGTCATCTCTCCAGGGTGGCTCCTTGGGTGTAGCTCCCTTGAAACCCCCAGATTAGACCCAAAGCCCCAGATTTATGGAAGACATTTGTTACCAGTTAATCAGTGCAATAAGCAGTATTTTAGTATGGCAGATAAAATGAGTTGTGGACTAAATGCCTAAACATAAAGATCAGCTTTCAAATTTGATCTGTGTTCCGAAGTCCACAGCTCTTCCTTGCTGCATTGCAGATCCCTCTGTGCACGTTCTCTGTGTCTCCCTCAAGCCAACAAGAGCAAAAGCTGTTTCCCAGCAACCGGAGTTAAAAACAGCTTTTCTTCTGTTTCTTTTCCTACACGGGATTTGTACTATTAATTAGGTTACTTCCAATTAATCCTCATAATCTTATAAGGGTCTTTGCTAGTACCACAGTTATTGGGAAATTCTGTAAGGCCTCTGTAATTCTCCATAGATGTGCAATAAAATTGGTTTAGGAGCACGAGGTGAGGGCAGGGAAGGATGACCAGCGTAACTGAAGAGGTTTGCTTAAAACTAAAACCCATCCTTTTGATGTTTTCCTCCCTTCTGGTTTTTTTTTTTTTTTTTTTTAATTTATATTTTTGGCACAGTACCCAGGCCCCCAGTGAGCTGCCCCAAAGGGAAGGGTAAAGGCAAATGAATGCCAGATTATTATAAGAAAGGGATGATGCTGGTTTGGGAGGAGAAGGATGGCAGGGCAGTGTGTCAGCAAAAAGATCTTTGGTGGATACCAGAACAGAACAGATAAAAATCACTGCTCAAATCCAGTGCCTTTTTCTCACCCGTGTATATATATAGAGCGAGCTTTTCTGTAAATCTCAGTGGAAATAACTAATGCATTATTATATCCAATACTGGAAAAGCCTGCAGAAAAGTTAATTTTATAGTCTTCAGCATATGATGGACTGGTGAGATACCTGCTCTAAGCTTCTGAGCCTGGGATTTGACAATGAAAAGCCAAACATTTGCAGTTAATGAAAAATGTATATATTCTTTGTAGATATAAGTAAGCCACAGAGTTTAAAACTACACATGGTACCAAGCCCAATATACAATGCTGCCCACCCTTACAAACAGGAGCCTGGTTTGATGCAGCAGAGCAGTTCGGTGTTCCTTCTGTTTGGCTGCTGCTGCAGATTTGAACAGAAACACAAATTCATTTCAGTTTGAAGGCTGACATCAGATTTGCATGCGGAGGTAGCCCGGTGAAGTAAATACAGCACAGTAATATTTGCAAGTTTTATATACAGCTTCCATCAAGTGATCAGAAAGTGCTTTGCACTTACAGCACCCTGCCTTAATGGGAGTGTTTACATGGCACCTCTCTGTTCTTGTGGCCTCAGTGACACAGAATGTGTCTCGCCTCCAATTGTGCACGTGAAGAGCTGCACAAGTGCCTCATGTCTGGAGAACAGAACGATGCAACTCAGTGCAGCTGGATGTAAAGTGGCACATATGGGAATAGGCAACGCAAGCTTTGCACATAAAATGATGAGCTCTGAGATGGTGTTTCCCATGTGGAGTGTAAGGCATGGTTCAAGTCCTGACTGGCCTGGAGAGGAGGGATAGAGACAGAGTATTTATTTTCCCTTCCAGCTGAAGAACTAGAGGTCATCCAGCAAAGCTATTAGGAGTGAAGCAGCAAAGAAAAGGAGGTGGGGTTTTTTTATGCAGGTTTCCTATCCTGTGAAGCTCCTTAGCAAAGAATGTTGCGGATGGAAGACCTTATCTGGTTGAAATGAAAACTGAGGAGCACTTAGAAGAGACGGCTACTGAATAAGCAAATCGTAGCAGGCTCAGGAAGTCCCCTGAACTGCCAGCAGTCCAAGCTTAGGAGAAACTGAGGAGAGGCTGTGTATTTGCTTGCCCTCATCCCAGCGTTTCCAGGGGCCTGCCCATGGCCACTGATGGAGAGACATCAGGCTTAGCTGGACTCTCGGTCTGCATCAGTACAGTCGTGCTTGTGTTCCCATTGCAAGGGGACTAATGTGTTTAGGATTTCACTGTTCTTGCTCTAAATGGATGCACAAAAGTATGGTAGGTTTATACTGTGAGGATTAATTCACTGATTTTTTTTTGATGAAACTGTTATTTTTTTACAGGCTCTGACAAATGGACACATCAAGAAAGAAGGCTATTCAAAGAGGCTTTGTCTACCTACAGCAAAGATTTTATATTTGTACAGAAAATGGTAAAGATGTTTTCTGCTCTGTCATTTTTCCCCATTTTCTGTGTCCTGTTGTTCCCTTTCTATTTTCCTTCCAGTGACATCCAGCTTACTGCAGGCATGGAGCCAGTGGGGGTTAGAAAAGCACTATGAGGAATCGTGTATTCCCTTTGGTGCACACATGCATGCAAGTGCAGTACCAGTTAAAACCATTTTAAAAAAAATTTATTAGATTTATGTATAAAATAAAAAGCCTCAGTAAGCACATCTATGTCAGAGCATTGCGTGTGTGGAACAAGCACGGTGCGCTCTAACATCCCCATGTTCTCTGGCAGTTTGCTAAAAGGAGCCTGGATCACGGGCATCAAACCTTGCTTGAAACCTATTAATAAGGGAGAGAACATGTTTGGGCTTAATTCTCGCGTTCTGTCACAAAGCAGAAGAGCCAAGGTGTGTATGTCTCAGGGCAGAATTGGATCCCGTACTTGTCCGCTCACATGTTGAAAAACATTCAGGTTTGTGGGAACCAGGATTTCTTGGCTATTCTGTACAATGAAGCTATAAATGCCTATTCCCCAATCATCACCTCAGCACAGTCTGGAGAAGCCCAGGGAAAATACTGGAGCTAAGATGATCAGCACAAATTTGACTGAAAAATAATACTTTTAAAAGATCGTTCTATAGACTATTACTGTCATATTAAAAATTTCCTTATTATTCCATTTTAATGTTTGAGAAATAAACCCAACATCTTGGGATATATTTTCATCATGTTGAATGAAACCTGAAAATTAATGTTGAACTATTTCTGCAATTACTTAACTGCAGGTTAAGTCTAAGACAGTTGCACAATGTGTGGAATACTACTATACTTGGAAGAAAATCTTGCGTTTGGGACGGAAGCACAGAACACGTCTGGAGAAGAAGAGAGAGGAATGCCTGGTGAGTTAAGCTCACATGCGAGTGCGTTAGGCTTTGCTTCTGCAGGTACTCCTGTTTGGAGCAGGAGGTTCAACTGGGTGACATGCATAGGTCTCTTCCAGCCTGGATTATTCCCTATTTCAAAATGACATCGTGTGTGGGCATTTTGTGATCCCATCTGCACCACAATTTTGCTTTCCTGGACTGCATGGGATAAAAGTGTTTTAAAAATGCCTGCTCTAACTCTAGCCTGACAATTAGGGCTTCGCTGCTCTCAAAGCAGAAGAACCCCTGCAAATTATCCCTGTGCCTGTATCTGTGTGTCTAGAGACCACTCTGCCATTCTGGCACAAATAGCATTTGTTTAGACAGGCAATAGATTCTTTGTGTGCCAATTCTCTATCACAAGCACCCAGAGCAGTCTTAAGAGATATATTTTTTAATTAAGTCATTTCATTAACCTATCAGTGTAGTGTCCATCTCTGTCCTACAGCTGTGTGGGGAAGAACTGCATCTTGGCATCTGTAGACTCCCTGGATGACAGCTCTAATGCACATGGAGGGTGTTTTGAACCCTTCTGCAAAGCTGCTTGACTGCAGCTTGTCCCTTAAAGGCTGGTCATTTCAGCAAGACTAGAAATTCATCTGAGATAAGGAAGAACTGCTGAAACCTGAAGCAGACTTGGCTAGACTTGCTGCTTCCATGCATTGTCTTTAGCTGTGTTGCTAGTTTTTCTGAAATGCAGTATCTGTTTCAGACAAGTGGAGAAGAGGAAGTTCTAGAGGAAGATGAGGAGGTGGAAGAAGACAGAAAGGAAGAAAGAGAACTGCAGAAATCTCCTGAGCCACCTGCTATCCCTCTTGTTGGGCCTATAGACCTGCCTGCCCTTCAGAGTCTCACACTTTCTTCATCCTCCTTCATCTGTGAAATGCCAAACTGCGGCGCTGTACGTGTGTCTGCTGTCTTCAAATAATAGCAAGGGGGTGGTAGCATAGTGAATAGTGATTTTTTTTTTTAATCAGATTTTATACTTTTTTTCCTGCTAGTAGTATTTCTTGAATATGGACAGAAAAAAAAATGCTTTGCTTATTTGCTTTGAATTCCCACCCAAGAAAATATGAGCAATATGCTAATACTTACATACAGTTGTTTCCTGAGATGTTGTACGGATGGATAGCACTGTATAGTAGTGTCTGTGATTACTGTGTAACTAAGAGGTAATGGGGTAACATAATTCACCTTGTTATGGTTATTACGAGTAAACTTCTTTAGTTGGGGACAGCATTTGACTAAGTGGATTGCTTATGAATATTTGAGGTGTACAGTTTTTAAAAAATGATTTTAATATGCATTCAGTGTATTTCTATCTGTAGTTCCTGTTGTGGTGCAGTATTATTATTATTTTTATTTTCCCTCCCTCCACCGTGCCCCCCGCCAGGTGTTCAGTTCCCGGCAGGCGCTCAACGGCCACGCTCGCATCCACGGGGGCACCAACCAGGTGACCAAAACGCGATGCCCCTTGCCGGGCACGAAGCAGAAGTCGGGTACGCAGAGCGGATACTGCTCCATCAAGAGCTCACCCGCCCACAGCACAACTAGCGGCGAGACCGACCCCACAACCATTTTTCCTTGTAAGGAGTGTGGCAAGTAAGTGGATATGTCTCCCTGTCTGCAGTACGGCATCAAATTTACCAGTGAACTTTCCCAATCAGTAGTGTTGCCACAAACTGTTTTTACTGTTCTGATTGTCTCAGAAGAGCAGCGTTTTCCCTAAGCTGTCGTGTTCTCTTACCAAATCCTCCAGAGGTTTGGTTTGTGTGGCGTTTTGGATGCTTTCCCTGCAGTGTTTTCCTGCAATTTAGTTTTCCCAAATTGACAACCTGCTGGCAATCCTGACTCTGACCCTCCAGGCTCCTGTTGCACTTGCGTGTGGCCATGAGCAACTTACTCAGTTTTTCTGTGCTTGCGCTTGTCCTTTCTAACACAGGGCTCCTTCGTTTTCTCCCCCTTGATAAGATTGTAGTGAAGCTAAGTACAGGGAGAATTAGGATGGGTGTAAATATTGAAACAATTGCAGGAGTTGCAGAATCCCTTAAGCAGAGTCTGAGAACAACATTTTTTATGTTGTCAGGATGCATAGTCTGGTAATCAGGTAGTCTGACCCCAAAACTCTTGTTGTGGCATTGCAGACTCCACTGACTTCTATTTCAGGATGGAGAAAGGAATGTACTGAAATATTGAGTCTTTTTTGACTCCTCTCATCAAAAGCTGTACGTTCTTACCTGGTTTTTTTTGCTCTCTCCTTTTTTCTTTTTTTTTTTTTTTTTTTTTTTTTTTTTTTTTTT